GGTGCACTGATCAATATTGAGATTTGGGGTTTCTTTTAGAGTAGTTGAAAGAAAACATCCAAAATACTAATTTAAGCATTTGTTTTTTTGCACTTCTTCATCTTCCATCTGTAGATTTCAATTAAAAATCATATCTTTAAAAGCCCTTTTTTATCCTGCACTGAGCCAGAAATGTCCACTTCACCAAAGTTTCCAGTTTTATTCTTATCTATATACTGAAAGTTTTTACAGAGGCGTTTGTTCATATATGTTATTTGCCTGGATTATATATCATTTTATTCCTACAAACGAGGATTTTTTAAAATTTTCTGATTTATGGAGTGATGAAAAGAATTATCCAAAATGCCATTTTGAGAATTTTGATCGTGGCTTGATCCAGTTTTCAGATTTCTGATCTGAAATTATATGCAACTTATTGCATTTTTAATTACACAGTGCGTAATTTGCATATTCAATCAACATTTCAGAAACTTGTAATACAAATCAATTGTCTTATTGTACTGTGATCAACTAGGGAAGTATGGTGATGTCTATTAGTTAAACATTTTACCCAATTCATTTTGCCTTACAATAAAAAGTATTGTTCATTGTTTATTTCATAATTTTAAGAACCATTCCAAAAAGGGGGTAAAGCATCTATTATTCTATGAAATATTTTTCATTTAAAAACATGATTTTGTCTGAAAACAATTTTTTAAATTGTGGTCAAGTGTGTAGTTACCAGCATCTACCAGCAGGGGCTTAGTGTATCATGCCAACCAGCCAAACTTTGATCCCAGACCTTTAAAAAAAAAAAATTCACTGGTGTAACCTTAAGTAGTCAGGTTGATTCAACCATATTAAATTATATTTTTGATTTCAGTTTCAAATCAGTCCATTAAAATGTTACTGCATGAAGCACATTTTTATGTTACCTAACAAAAGATGGGGACATTATTTAATTCAGTATATAATAAACTCAACGGGTGCCACCTCACATTTCTTTTTTGGCATGGTATGCTGTAAAAATTACCATCATTTGTATTTCACCAGTATTGTTTTTTTTATATTAGCAGTGTATTGTGGAAATGATTTAATCAAGCTTCTTTTCACTGTCTCATCACCTCTTCAATCCCTCCTCTGAGAATCAGGTTGAGATTAAAATATGTCATCATAATGTAATCCAAAAAAATAAATCTATAAATCCTCAGTAGATGGAGGTGGTTACTCTATGGTTACTCTGTCCAAGATCTTATTTAATCTGTTCAAGTTCATTAAGATGAAGAGTAGGGGAAGACACTGATTTGAGTCGCCCGGGAAAAGAGGGGGTGGGGGTTCTCAAAGGCAACCGATCCCTCGTCAGGTCCATGCAGAGACATGCGTAGAGGCGGGGCATAGAGGACCTACAATAATGTACAGTATTTGTAATTTGTGAGTATAATGTACTTATACTATGGGGCTGTTGAATGCTTAAATCTGATTGGCTGACAAACGTTCTGAGGTGTGAAATTATTTTCAGGGAAACTCATGGTGAACGTAGTTCCAGGCAGCTCTCTTGACCATATCATTTCGCATAGTTAACTGTAATAACGGAAATTAGCATACGGTACCTATACAGCACACAGGAATTACTGCAACCACACGTGCTCGCACACGCACATGCACACTACGGTCACGCAGTTTGCACAAAAAGGTGTTGTCAGCGCTGCCCTGACGATTTTATCAGTTAGCCTATATAGTGTAGCAACTTAAAGGCTACACATGACATTTCTCACTAGCGAGGTAATAACAGCTCTGTTTAGAGATGCTGCTGCAGAACACTGTTGAGGGACACACAGAGGTAGCCTAATTCACACAAGCGCTCTCTCTCTTTCTTTCTCTTTCTCTGTGTGTCTCTGTCTCTCTTGCTCTCTTTCTAATAACTTCAAAAATAACTGCATTAGAATGCTATCAACAGCTCAAGCCTCCATTACCAGCTTTAAAATGACGTTTTGGAACTAGCAAAAGAGGCGTTGGATGAGATGCGGAAGAAATAATCCTACTCACAATAGCGATTTAAGTACAAAAACCGGACAAATCCCTTTAAATATATCATCTGATCGATGTCTTGAGGTGTGGTAACCGTAGTATAAGCAGAATAATTGTCATCAATAATTCCTTACTTATACTGTCTTTTTACTTCTTGCATCGCGCCGCGTAAACATAAAACCATGTCTGCATTTGTGATTGTAGAAATGACAAACAACAAGCGCTACTCTACACTGCTCAAAACACGCGTTTGAATCATCAGTGGCAAATACTTTAAATATAAAAATACTTACTTACAGTCTGTGAGTCAGAACAGCCGGCATTGTAGTCTACTCTCCCAGGATCAGGAAACAGTCCTCCATAAAATGTGCTGCACACATCTTTTTAGGTTGAAGTGTTCTGGAACAGAGTTGTAAATACAACTTAACCACTGATTTCTAGTCGTGTCCTCTATTGGAAGGCCAAACAAAGTAGTTTCACTTTCACAACGAAACACACAGCGTCACACAGGGCGGGCTAGAGTGAGGAACGGCCGGCGGATTCGACGAAGGAACGTCCAGCGGGCTTGCGGCAACCATATGTGACGACCCCGGGCTGGACTCAGCTTTGTCCGCGGTGAAAGCCGATCCGGCGATCCGCAGCGCAAAGTTGATGTATTTCCTCAGTGACCAGCACGGATCAGCTCCGGGCATGACGAAGCTGATATCGTCCTCTTTTGGAAGACAAAACAAAGTAGTTTCGCTCTCACAACGAAACACACAGTGCCTTCACGACATGGCGGCAGCAACAATACTACAGCGAGAATAAAAGTTACGCCTTCTTTCTTTGCGTGAACATTTGGGCGGCGTTATGCAAATCTTCCCACATCGTGACGTAGACGTGGGGGCGTGTTAGAACGAGTCGTTTTAGGTAGGTGTGGCTGACTCTTAACTTTTATAAAGAATATCTCTTTGGATTTGAGACTTTAGTCTTTGCAACTTTACAGATCTTCTTTATGCACCAAGAGCTTGTAACACTTGAAAATGGAAGCAGGTCAATGCAAGCAATCTCTGCTTTGCTCTTAAATAGCATTGCATGATTCTGCTCAAACTCTATGCATGGAAAGAGCTGGATGAATCACATTGTGACAGGCTCATGTATGCGAATGTGCATTATAAGTGTTTCTAGGGTAAAAAAAAAAATATGTGAGTTGTCAACGCTCATTATGTGGTCTGCTGGAATTTGGAAAGCTTGAATAGCAGCAAACAGGATGTACATCAGTGTGTATTAAGACCACCAGTAGGATTGTTTCAGAAATGAATGGATGTTCTGTCTTCATGGAGAGTGTCCAACAAACACACAGAGGCTTTATTATTCCTGGGACTGGGATATGCGTTTAATCTTTAAACGTCTTGATAATCCATTAGAATGATGCCACATATTCATGAGATCATAATTGTCATCATGTCAGTGTTGAGGAAGCACATTTGAACCTTTAGATTCTCAAGCTACAAGGTTTTACAAAATATACTTGAAGTGTGAAGCAAAACATAATTTGCACAACCAGTTTCAAACAAAAAGTAGCTACATCAAGCTATTTGAGGAGGCAGTATCTTTTTATATTTATTATCAGATGGTATGTTTTTTTTAAGTTAGTAGCATCGCTGCCTCCCTAACACTGTTTAATGTTGTTTTAATGAAACTTCAAGTCTCAACCAACATTAAAAGACAATAATAAAAGGATGGAAAGCAGTGTGCCCATTTTTCCTCTTCTGTAGCTTTTAAGCATGTATACGCATTGTTTTCATCTCAGTTCATTCAGCACAGTTTATTAACATTGAAAAGTTCAAGTATGGACAAGCAAATATGCTATATTTTGTTGTTTTTTATGTTGTAAACAAGAAAGTAAGATACTGTGTTGAACATATGACATTATAAAGGTGGTTTATAGTAGTACATGGAATTTGATCAACTGTATGCCAGAATATGGTTGGGATTAATTCAGGTAAATTGGGACTTTTTGCCATTGAGATGACTGGGAAATATGGCCCAATTATCCTGAATTAACCCAAAGTTGTTTAAAATTAGACTTGTATTGCTTATCATTAAATGCACTCCATTGCAGTATAGCAATGCAATCTGATGAATAAATAAATCATAGGTGCTGTAACAGATGAATAAGAATAACCTGTTTTGTAACATTAATATCTGAAATCTTATTTTTAGAATTTGACATTTTGTTCACATTTCATAAGATATGAAGTTACACAGATGCTACAGTGACCATTCAAAGGGAAAGTTGACCCAAAAATTTAAACTGTCATCATTTACTCAACTTTTTAAAAAAAAAAATATTTTTTTTGTGTCCAAACAATAAAAGTCAGTGTAGTCCAGAGTTGTTTTTAGACCCCACTTTCATTGTATGGACAGAAACAATCTTCAAAATTTCTTCTGTTGTGTTCTGCAGAAGATCATACAGAATGACATGAGGGTGGATAAATGATCATCTTTGGGTGAACTATTCCTTTAAGAGCTTGCTTACATTTACATGACCCAGTTTAAAATCTGTCATAGGAACCTAAATGCAAAAACTTTTGCTTTCGAAAATGGGAAAAATACTGTTGTTTGCATTATTTGACCTGAACTGGCTGTCTTACCAATTAAAACAAGGTTACCTAGAAAATTTTTTGAGTACAATGAACAAATTATTATTTTGCAAATGCATTATTTGGCATGCGCTGCAGACAGCTTCTTAACAACATCAGAAAATAACTAAACCTAAATGATAATGATAATGATCATAAATGATATTGTTGAGCACATACCAGGATTAAGGGCTACTGATCTGCTCAGTTGACACCTTTTTATTTATGTACTGTACGACAGTGTGTGCATTGATTTGTAGCATTAATTTTATGATGTCCTGAAAAAATGAATGGATCTACTGTATATCATTTTTTTTTTTACATTATGAACTTGTAAACACTGAGACCATTTAGCCACAGATATTTGCAATGCACCTTGTAAAAGCAACAGGTACAAGAAAACCATACACCTGTATTCAGGTTATAAGTATCGGTTCTGAAAGCAGCTGAAATGCTTATTTGGTTTTTGTTCACAGTGTCCTTTTAGGTGTTTTCATACCGAATCTACTTTGACTTGGTTGTTGTTTGTCATTAAAGGGGATGGCTTGCTTTTGATCCGATCCGCAGCATCATTTGAACTCTCTGGGAAGAACATCCTCGCAGTACAGAGTGAGATAATAATTTTTTTGTACTCTCGTCTGAAGTTCTGGTTCAGCAGTCCATAGACTATAGCATTAAGGCAGCTGTTGAAATAGGCCATGAAATAACTGGATACAAAAAACCACTCTGGGATGAGAGGCGCAACCCGCCCGGGGTTTATAGCGACCGCCAAGCCGATGAAATTGAGAGGGGCCCAGCAGATAGCAAAAAGAACGAACACCACAAACATGGTAACAAAGTTCCTTACGTCGTGTGGCGTGAGTTTGGGCCGGAACTCAGGTTTGACGCGTCTCCTCACCTGGATCACCAAGATCCAGATCCGCAGGTAGCAGTATGTCACAATCATGATTGGAAGAATGAAATGGAAGAACACGACGGCGATGGTGTACGCCGAGCTGGCCGACTGCGCAAATGTACACGAGAAGACCCTGGGGTCATACTGCAGGGAGCCAACGTAAAAGTTTGGCACTATAGCGACCACAGTCAGTATCCAGATGAGAAGGACGTAGCAAAGCGAGTTTTTGTCGCTGTACAGCTTGTCATACTTGAGGCTGTGACAGATATAGCAATAGCGATTGATGGCAATGCCAGTGATGTTAAATATAGATCCAATCACGCTCAATCCCATCAGGAATCCACTGATCTGGCAGTGGACGAATCCCAAATTCCATCCATTATGGACAATGGAGACCAGCACGAGAGGATAAGGATAGACCGCTACTACCAGGTCAGCTACTGCCAGGCTCACCACAAATAAGTTCCCTGCAAAACAATGACAGAAAGATGATAAATACAAATAAAGCAATTACAGGTACATAGTTACACTGTAATAATGGGAAAACCTTCAAGTGAAACAGCTTATTACAATTTCCAGAATGCAATTTATTAGGTTATTGAATAACTTGAGGCCAAATACGATACTGTAGCGACCCTTTCAATCGAGGGGACATAAAGAGGTTTCATCTGACTGTCAGATTTTGCTGATGGCTTGTCAGGTTCCTTGAAGCCATCAGATTAGATTTGTATGAAGTTTTGTGTATGATGTCTTCTGAAAACAAATTTTAGACGTGTTATTTCTCCTGTCCTTTTCAGGATGGATGCAGTTTACTTTTGCAGCATGACCTTTATTTCATCTAATTAAATCATATGTTTCCTAAGTCTGTCAGCTGCTTTCTCTATTAAAAGGATTGGGGTTACATCTGTTATTGTCACATGATACTCCGTTCACCAATGAAGACCTTTTAGAACTTTTGGGCCCCATGTTAGAAGAGACACTAGCTGATGAGACCAGGCTGTTGCAAGTCGCTGTTTTTAAATATACCATTTTCAGATATTAATATAATGAATCTGGATGTTTTTTTAAGAAATCATCAGTCTTAGGTTTTTAGGTAGGTTTTTTCAGCCATTTATACGAGATTTGTTTATCCTGAAAGTTTTTAGAGACTTTTGACTTTGTGTCCCCTAAGAATTTTTTTTTTAAATGTGTATACATATATACTGTATATATAAGAACTTGCCAAAAAAGATGTGTTATCAAGTAATCAGTTAACTAAGGTCCATTTAAAGGTAGGCCCTACTTTATGCCTATGCAATTTCGGAGAGGCTAGCATAGGGCTGGACGATATGGCCAAAATTTATATCTCGATATATTTCTTAATTTTGGTCGATACGATATAATTCCGACAACTAGCGGTTTCTCCAGTAATGGCTGTAAACAAAGCAGCTCCGCTCATGAGCGCTACTTTATCAGATAAAAATGCCATCTAAACTATTCTGAAGACAGTCGGTTCCCTTCAGAGATACATTCATATAAAACACCCACGACGTGTTATGATTTTGAAACATGCAGTGCTCATGTTTATTCAACGAAGTCAAACGCCACAAATAAATCAATGTATGGGAAACACTGGTAATGTATATCGAAATATCGGAAATGTGTTTAAAAATCATATCACCGTTATTGAAAAAAATTATATCGCGATACATATTGATATTGAATTATTGTCCAGCCCTAGGCTAGCAATAGCAAGCTAGCTTTGTCAGCATAAGATCCCACCCTCCCTGCAAATCACTCTTCAAAGCCACACCTCCTCCAAAACACATCAGACCAGAGGCTAACCAGCGACACGATGAGAGACGGCTTTGTTGGAGGATTGAATGCAATGCTGTCGGATTGCCTCATGTCTCATTCACCAGTGAGAAAATATTATATTACAAAGCGCATTATATTACAAAAATAACGCCTTCCATTCTCGCTCGGTCTGCAATAGCGTCACAGAATGAGCTGATGACATTTCATGTCTGTGTGAACAGGGTGCACAGAGGTATGCAAATACATACAGTGACAGGCAGGTAGGACAGCCTATCATAGCCCTCGGACCGAGTGATATGACTGGACGAACATTCTATGGTCCTACACCTTCCACAGGCGACATAAATACATTTAGACCACTTAATTTAGTGATTGCTTTCGGGATGTAAAGAGACTTTCAATCAGCATAACAAAAAAATGTTTTTAACCAAATCACCTAGCCTGCCAAGAAGAAGTGAACTGAACAAGAAGAAGACAGTTCTATTACAAGGAACTTTAAATGGTCTGGAAGATTTTCAATACTAATTCTATTGACTTCTATACTCATTTCCCTTTGGCCCACTGAGAAAGAAAAGGTAAAATACTCATAATGTGAATCAGTCTAACTTTCTCGACATGCAGATCAGATGTGGAACATTGCACTTACATACTGGCATTTTTATCTCATATACACTACATGCTGTGCAAATCTTATAATCCTGAAGGATTGCCAAATAAATACATTCATGATTTAGCCAATTTAGCTCAATGTTAAGAGGAATCATCGGAGCAGAAGATCATTCCAGAACAGTGACTCAGTAAATTATTTCTGTGACATCTCAGCGGCTCCTCTATTTTCAACTGTTGTGTTCCTAAAGTTCCATTTGAACTGAGGACGACTAGCAGAAAGTGGGAAAATATGAACAGAGATTTGGAAAGCCCAGCAGGGGCCCTGTAGCATGGACCACAAATCGCACTGCAGAAGTCATCTGCAGTTATAGACTTCATGTGAGACATCATTATTTTGAGTGTACAACTGCAACAAGATGAAGTTTATATTCTCAAGAGTTCTTTAAGCTTTATATTATTACAACTGGAAGGAAGTTTTTAAGTCTACAACTTAAGTTCTTAAAGTTTTTTGCTAACTCTGATCTGGGAAAATCACCTGTTTAATTACAGTGTTTGTAAATAGAGTTTAACATACAACACCATGTCATAATGAGATGGTGTGCTAGTTGTTAGTTAGAATTTTTGTCTGTAAGCTCATATCAAACTACTAGAACCAGTATAACACAACTGTCAATGTGATGTCATTAAATATTCATCATATTTTCATATCTAGTTTTAACACACATATATTTTTGTTTGTTTGGACAGACACTACAAGTACAATATTGAAAATGATCACAATGAAATCATGCTCCTGTCTCCATGGACCACAAATCGCACTGCAGAAGTCATCTGCAGTTATAGACTTCATGTGAGACATCATTATTTTGAGTGTACAACTGCAACAAGATGAAGTTTATATTCTCAAGAGTTCTTTAAGCTTTATATTATTACAACTGGAAGGAAGTTTTTAAGTCTACAACTTAAGTTCTTAAAGTTTTTTGCTAACTCTGATCTGGGAAAATCACCTGTTTAATTACAGTGTTTGTAAATAGAGTTTAACATACAACACCATGTCATAATGAGATGGTGTGCTAGTTGTTAGTTAGAATTTTTGTCTGTAAGCTCATATCAAACTACTAGAACCAGTATAACACAACTGTCAATGTGATGTCATTAAATATTCATCATATTTTCATATCTAGTTTTAACACACATATATTTTTGTTTGTTTGGACAGACACTACAACGTACAATATTGAAAATGATCACAATGAAATCATGCTCCTGTCTCAAAAATTATAAAATGTCAAAAAATATATAAACTTCCCACTTCAAATCTGAATGCAGCACTGATCAATTTGTCAATTCTACAGTAGCATAAGAGGCAAAGACTCTGAGACTGTAGAGTAAAAGTCCTTACAAGCACCTTACTTCTCCCTAGAGAGTTTGTTTGTGCCACTAATGGCATATATGCTTGTAGCGTCTGGACCACTCAAACACACAATGTATATTTTGTTAGCTAGATTTCACAAATACTCTGTAACACCCCAGGAAGCCGAACAGGCCCCTGGTTTCATGGTAACCCGGACACCCGATACATTTACAACCTTGTGGAATGTGAGCAGAGACTCTCAGCTGCATTTTCCAGAAGCAAGAGGCACAAATGCACATCAGAAATGGACTTTTCTACTAATTAATTCATAGGAAACCCTTTCTTTGAATGAACAGTGTATCCTTCAGGTCATGGTGTATGTTGTCTTTGATATTTTTAGACTATTTTAGGCATGCTTATGAGGGAACCCATTACTGTCATCCTTTCACTATATGTAATCCTACCTTGTCTAGTATCTATGAATTCGCCTTCTTATGATCGAAACAAGCATG